GTATGTAGAAAATAATGTGTTTTTTGAACCTTAAACCGCATAAACACATTTCATTACACCAAATACACCAAATAATGTTCTTTTTAGCAGCATCATATGACCCCTTTAAAGAATAATTTCAGTGTGTAAAAATTGAGAGGCCAGTAAAATGTGTGTGTGTGAGTCTGATTGTCTCAGCATGATTTCCATTATTCATTGTTCTGTGAGTGGCTCTAATTGTAACATCATTACCAGCTTGAGTTCTAATAACTGCCCCCCGATTCCTCATTCGCTCTCACAGATCACTTCAAGCACCATTAAAACAATTATCTTAAGAAGACTAGCACTGATTAATATTCCCATAATGCTCTGTAATTACGCGTCACTGATAAGTGGATGTGTCCTGAATCTTTGAAAACAGTCCTTATTTTGTCTCTCTTCTATTTTAAAGTAACACAAACATTGAGATTTTTTAGAAAAACTGCAGTACAAATTTTGAAGGCTTCTAAAGGAAATGAAAGAAGAGTTTTGTTATGAGAAAAAAAAAACGATTTTATTACAGTGAACTACAGAAGCGCTGTTATTGCACTATAATTCATAAGTCATTTTAAGCTTTTTTACTGCACTGCAGTATTTTTAATAGAACAAGTGTCACACCGGATGGCTGTTGCAGCATTATTGCATAAAACTCTGTTTAAAGGGGCCATGTTGTGTAAAACAATGTTCTTTGCCAACCTTTAACTATGGCAATAAAAAACACTCCCTTTCATATTTTCAATTTCAATTTTACTTAAAGTTTCTGTAATTTTGTCATTTTTGTCATTTTTAGAAGTTTATCTCTTTTTATAGATTTTTATTTCCGTTTTAGTTATTTTAGTACTTCTAAACGAAAAATAAAATAAGTTTGATATAAAATAAATCTATAATATAAATATTTTTTTTACATTTTATTTTAGTTAACATTTATTTTATTTCAAGTATTGACCTTTTTTATAGTTTTAGTTTTAGTCAACAGTAACATCCCTTATTAATATATGATCACCTACTAGGGATGGGCGGCACTTCAAAAACAACTCATCCAATCAGAATTTAGAGTCGAAACTATCGGTTGTTTGTGTTTCTTCAGGACTAGCTTTTGCTGGATGTTTAAATACATTTAATTAGAGACCAATTCTCAAGAGCTCAAAAGGCCTTTTTGGATGTCGACCATGTTCAGTATGATTACTGTTTTTGTAAGGCAGCATTCAGCTCGAAACACTTAACGTACAAGCTCCATTCAGACCGTCCTCTAGCATTTTCTGCAGTGTTACTGTTCCTGTAGCTCAGGTAAAGTACTAACCTTCACACTAACAATGCCGAGGTCACAGCTTTCGACTCCTGATAAAACACACTGAATGCTTCAGGTACAAGCACCAACTAAACAAATATGTAAATACACTGCAGTTCAAACATTTGGGGTGGGTAAGATTATTTTTTCATGTTTTTGAAAGAAGTCCTTATGGCTGCACTTATTTGATCAAAAATACAGTAATATTGTGAAATATTTGTACATTTAAAATAACAGTTTCCTTTGTGAATATATTTTAAAAAGTAATTTATTCCTGTGATGGTAAATCTGAACTTTCAGCAGACATTTCTCCAGTCTTCAGTGTCACATGCTCCTTCAGAAATCATTTTAATATACTGATTTGCTGCTCAAGAAACTTTTCTTATTATTAGCAATGTAGAAAACAGTTGTGTTGATTAATAATTTTGTGGAAACTGTGATGCATTTTTTTCAGGATCCTCTGATGAATAGAAAGTTCTAAAGGACAGCATTTATTTGAAATAGACATCTTTTGATCGATTGAATCTATTTTTTCTCAATAAAAAATATTTTCTTAAAAAAATAAAAATCTTACTGAGCCAGACATTTGAAAGGTAGTGTATTTTGTCTTGAAATATGTATTTCTCTATTTCTGTTTTTTTTTTTTCAACTGCTGTTTGAGCTACAGACACAATTTTTCACAATGGAAGCAATTTTTCAATATATAATGCTTGCTTATACAATATTATGTTATTATAAGTTAAATCTTTCTTACAAAAAAAATAAATAAAATATATATATATATATATATATAAATTATGCCCATTTATTATTATACTTTTGCCGCCTTACATGAAAAAAATATATATGTATATTAAAAAAAAAAAAAATGTATCACAAGGTTTACAAGCACAAAAATATATTTATATTTATGGATATTCAACACTATTCTTTTGCTGACTACAAAAAAAATTATTATATATGCTCCTTCAGCTCTATTCTTTTGGTGTCTTGCAAGCATTGGTATTCTGTTAAGAAAATGCAAATCTAGCCATATTAGCATATCCATATAACAAAGTGGAAATTACGTACAATATAAGAATGCTATAAGATCATACAACAGCATTCCTACAATATTACATGAGCTTGTGTTTGTGTGTTACCTGTCTCTCTGTGAGCTGAGGAAACACAGCAGATGACAGGCCCAGAGCAGCGGTCCTGCGTAGGTGCTCAGCGCAGTCAGGAAAATGGCAGGTGCTTCTACGTAACTCTCCAGACCCACAAAACCCACAGAGCTGTCCACCGTCCCGATGTTATTAGAGTTTCCCTGAAGAGACCATATAACATAAACACAAACAGTTGACATACATTTTAACATTTTATAAAGACCCCAAAAATGTATTTGTCATGGCTGTCTGGAATAACATGATGGTGAGGGGAATTCATATTTTTGAGTTAACTCCTTTAATACTTTGTGCTAGGGGCTTGTATTGTAAATACATGCTCAGTAGGGGTAAGCTAGTAATTAAATGCTAAATTAAATAAATGTGGATGAATATCTCAATAAAACTGAAATCTTGATATAGCATTGTGAGATTATAAAATCAAAGGCAGGGATTTTATTCAATATTTATATAGTCTTTTGGGCTGCATTTCATTTTGGGAACGCAATGTGCGCCACATTCACTTTATTTACATGTTTGCATAATTTCCAGCATTTCTGTGGATAGAAGTTTACAGTACTTCAACAGGATTCCACCAAAATAAAAGCTTGAGGATCTGAATGATTGAAAGTGGAGAATTTAAGATATAAATATTAGTATTGTAATTCCCAGTGTAAAATAAATTATTATAACTATCAAATACTCTTTTTTTTAATTTCACAGGATAATTTACAATTTAATTTACAACAGTAATATACTCTTTTTTTTAATTTCACAGGATAATTTACAATTTAATTTACAACAGTAATATATTTATATCTTTATTTTTATAGAGTTAAATACTACTACTGGTTATTATAATTATTATTATTATAAAGCGAAATAACTTTAAAATAAAAACAAATTAAACTAAAACACTAACTAAAGTTTTTTTTAAATCCCTATATATGTGCG